GTCCATGGGGCTATTTCTGTTTACAATTTCAAGGCGACACTGTCGAAAGAGTTTGGGTTTCAAAAGTTAACTTAGTGTATATGAAGGAATATTTGTCTCCCATCTCTTGGTAGTCAGGATTGATGGGACTGCAGTTAACATCTTAATATTATTGCTTGCTCTGCAATGTGTAGAGACATATGAAATATGGATATGTTTTACTTTCTATTGTTTTAAAATTCTTGGCTTTCCTTCATCCAGTATGCCAAGTCAGATGCTGCTGTCTAAACAAAACCCATCATTTACTTCCAATGGAATGTTGTGTGTGTGTGTCAAAATATGATGAGCTGCAGTCTGCCCTCCACTCTCTATGGTACAAATGTAACTTGATGCAATGGCTAGAGGATCATGATGTATTTACATTTGTCCAAAGCAATGCAGATTTTAGGCAAATAATGTTTTTTTCTTCCATTTATATAGGATCGTAGAATTGTATAGCTTAGAAAAGATCATAGAATTATCTAGCTTAGAAAAGACCTTTAAGGTCTTCAAGTGCAACAGTTACCCAGTTCTGCCAAGGCCACCACTGAACCATGTCCCTAAGTGCCACTTCTGCTCATCTTTTAAATGCCTCAAGGGATGGTGACTCCACGAATTCCTTGGGCAGATGTTCCAATGCTTGACCAACCTTTGGTGAAGAAATTTTTCCCCATGCACAATCTAAGCCTCTCCTGGCACAATTGAAGCAGTTTCCTCTTTTCCTGTTGGTTGGTACATTGGAGGAGAGGCTGACCCCCACTCAGCCCCTCGATCCAGCCTTTCCAGATCCCTGTGCAGAGCCTTCCTGCCCTCCAGCAGATCAGCACTCCTGCCCAGCTTGGTGTCATCTGCAAACTGACTGAGAGTGCCCTTGATCCCCTCATCCAGTTAAAGGTGTTAAACAGGACTGGCCCCAGTGCTGAGCCCTGGGGAACACCAATTGTGACTGGCTGCCAGCTGGATTTCCCTCCGTTCACCACCCAGCAATCCAGACAGTTTTTAACCCAGTGAGCAGCAGACTCATACACCAGAATCATACACCTGAGCAGCCAGTTTCTCCAGGAGAATGCTGTGAAACAAGGTGTCAAAGGCTTTCCTGAAGTCTAGGCAGACAACATCTGCACCCTTTCCTTCATCTGCTAAACGGGTCACCTTGTCATAGGAGATCAGGTTAGTCAAGCAGGGCCTGCCTTTCCTAAACCCATGCTGGCAGGGTGTGATCCTCTGGTTGTCCAAGGAGTGTGTCCAGATTCCCTTCCCTAAGGAATTAGGAAATACAGTTCTGACTTCTGGAAAGGTCTTGTGAGCCAGTCTCTCCTGGGAGATGCAGTAGGAGCAGGAAAAGGATGTCCTGTAACAAGAATATCATGGTATGCAAGTGTAGGCTGTGTATTAAGAGCAAAAGGCTGTAGCACACTCAGTTGTACACCCAGCAATCTGGGAGATGAGGATAAAAAGCAATGTTTTCCTTGACAGCCTGTTATATGAAATTGTGAGGAGGTTTTATAGCAGGCAACAGCCAAAACTCATAAAAACCCCAGAGGTTTGCTTGGGTGCTGGGGACTGACTGTGTGTGGGTGTCTTGTCTATGAAAAGGTTCCAGCTGTATCAAATAATCCCAAATAATCAGCTGTCCGTCTCCTAGACCATTAGTTTTCTCGTCTTGGTGCTGCTTTTTGAATTTGCTGAAAGGTTTGCAATGTCAATTACAACCAGATGGTGAGATAACTTGTTCGATGTGTCAAAGTGCTCAGATGGCCGAGCAACAAAACATGGAACACTTCTCAGAAAAATAAAATAGGTTTGGGTGCTGGGAAAAAAAGAGCAAATTTGAGGGTGGTTTCCTTTGTGCTGGACACTGGGGAGTGTTTGGGAAGGGTGGGAGTTTGCTGGGGAAGAATCAGCAAAGTAACTAGAAACCCTGAGGTCCACATGTTGGGAAGATACCAAGCATGTTTAAGAGTCCCTACTGATTCCTCTCAAATAGATAATCAACACAGAATGATTTCTTTTTTTGTCTGTGTTATTCACTGTAGTTCACTTAATTTCGAAATATAACAAGACCACCTTTTGATGCTTTTCTCCTCTGCCTCTTGAGGATGTATCAGGTGAAGATCATCTCTAAGCTATTGGGCTTGTTTGGTAAAACTACTCATCTCTTATGGCAATTGCATATGTAATCCAAAGGGTCAGTTAATGTTGTCTTCTTAAAAATATAAGTAGCTGTAATACTGTCCTTAAACTTTCTTTTCCTCTCTCTTCATAAAGAAGAGTTGTTTTCCTCTCTCTTCATAAAGAATTGTTTCAGTAATTAATCAGTGGCCTGGGTAATTTCTGCTGTAGCTGTCTCAGTGGGAGGGAGCAAGATCATAAACAGTCTGCTATCAAATAATTGTGTCCTGACAAAAAAGATGTGTTTTCCCTATTTTTATTAAACTTAAGCAAAATAGAAAGTGTAAAGGCAGGTGTCAAAAGGACTCTCTTTTACATTCTCATTTACTTTAGTGAGCACTGTGGGATATCATGACTGTAGGCCCTTTTAGGGGAGAAATTATCCAGAGTTACAGATTGTTTAGAATATTTGCAGAGCCATGTAGAAACCAAATTGCTTTTTATAAAGCTACTGTATATCATCATTTTCTTGTGATAATACTGAACAGTTTTTCATTTGTAAAGCAGTATGAACTCACCCATGAAACATAAATTTTAAACCCATCTTTTTAAGATTCAGAAAACAGGAGCTATGTCCATGTTCATCAACACTTGGTAATGATTTCCCAGTAAAGGAGGAGGAGGAGAAGAAATCCCCATGGGGAAATCCTTCTGAAATGGGTGTGCTTAGGCATGCAGGAGTTGTCCCAAAACGATTTCATGGGAAGAAGAAATCAGTTCTTTGGGGGAATTAGTACTTTGATGTGGACAGCCTTACTGATTGTGCAGGCTCTTTATACACAGAACTGAAATATATAAGACTTTCTAATGTTACTTCCTTCTTCTTGTAGCAATCTAAAAACTCCCACTGAATAAAACCAGACGAAAAAGTGTGAGGGAGAATTTTATGATCTCTGTTAGTTTTTCATTGCTGGGCCAGTTTATTTTCTCCAGTTGCTAATACTTTCCAGGTCCTGAGCATCCAAGTGAGCTTTCCATACACACACCCTCATTCCTTAGTGGAGATGAGGAAAAACCTGCAGTGATTCACAGCATGCTCCCTGTCTACCCTGGCAACGCTAGCCATACCCACAGTCCTTGTTGGTTCAAAGGGATAGCAGCAAACCCTGCTTTCTCTGCCAAAATATACAAATAGACTCTTGAAAGCCAAGTTATCAGTGTCTCAGCAATGAGTGAAACCACTGTGTTGTTGTTGTATGTGCCTTGGAAAGAGCTGTTCCTTGGAGATCAACACAGGAGGGCGAATAGTTAATCATTGCTTTATCGAACAGTAACCATCTCCTAAATTAAGGTCCTGAAAATAACACTACAAAAATGCCAGAGGAAAGTTCCAGTCTGCTTGTTTGTGACTGTGAGGGTGGTTTTTACTGGTTAATGAATCCAAAGAGTGTTTGTATTCTCTTAACTGGGATTTAAGAGTTCAGGTAATTCCACTTTCAGCTCCAGTAGTTTGGCATAAGAATGTAATTCAGAAATGTGTGACATGGCAATGAAGGAATTCATGCACAATCCTCATACTTTAAGAGGATGATTTTTTCCTAGTTTTCCCTTTGGTTTATATCCAAATAAACATATTTGTAGTAAAGCACAGTACCCTGTAGTGCCTTGCAAAATACTCTCCCCATTTCTCAGCAGAATGGATAAAAGAGACTTTTAGCTGTTAATCTTAAAAAAAAACCATTGTGTAAAGCTGACATTCAGGTGTTACAGGTCTTGTGTAGATGGAGTGAGATTTGTTGTGCAGTGTCTCACCTTCCAGTCCTGTGCTTTCCCCAGCTAATTCACACAGTACAATTGATTTCCCAGCTGGTAACTAGTTTTGCCATTGTTACTTCTGTGCTTGTAATTGCACTTTGAGGTTGGCAGGTTGGCTCAGGCTGTGAGATTCCCAGAGGATGGATGTTTTCCCAACAGGGAGAGTGCAGAGTGTCTCTGTGTCTCTCTGGTAGAACAGGAGGAGGCAGTTGGTGTGTTGTCTTGTGTTAGGTGGTGTTTGTGTTTAGCCACAACCTTTCCTGGTGTGGTAACCAAATGATGGTCTGAGATACCCTGATAACTTTGACTTAGCTAATAAAATCTCCCACACAGCATTTTATAAACTATAGCCCAACCTTGGCTTTTTCACCTTTTGACATTTGACTCACTTTAACTGCTCTTTCTAGGTATGCTTTGGAGACCATCCCTATGGATGAATCTACTGAGTAGATTTTGCCCCAGAGCAGGGAATCAGCCTGTGGAAAATTGCAGGCAACGCAGAAGGATTTGGCAGAGATGTCCTGGTAGATGTGGTCTTCATCTGCTGGTCACCATCTACCATCATCTACCCTTGTTCTTGTTAAAGCACCTTGGTGTAATGGAGTCCACAAAGAGTTTGATGGAGTGTGTCTGGAGAGGCTGTGTTGATGGATGCAAAGGACTTAAGGCCAGCTTAGTTGTTTGGGATATGGTGATGGACAGCAGATCAACAGCTTTGGGGATAAACGAAATAGCAGGACAGCAGCAAATACAACTCAGCAGTGCAGTTATTCTTAGGTGGTGCCAGATGCCTACATCTCTATAATAGCTCTATCCATAATGTGGCCATTGTCCTGTGTGTGCTCACGGAACCACATGGGACTGCTGCAGGAAGCAACAGATGCCTCCCACATGGCTAGCAGGGGAGAGGATGGTTTCCATCCCCCTTGGTGAAGGTGTTGCAGTTCCAGTTTGGGTGTTGGGACTGCTCTCAGCCATGCTGACCCTTGCACCTGGTGACTCTTTCTGCTTCTTCTTCCCCTTTCTAGGAGCTGAGTGTTGTGACCTGCCCTGCTTCTCCCTGCTCGGCGTGGGAACAACCTGAGGAAGATCTTGGAGCCACCTGTACTGCTTCATGCAGTTAAAGTAAGGTTAAATGCTTTGGCAGCTCTTTTAGGTATACACCAGGATTGAGATGAGGGGTTTGGATGAATGGGTTTGCCCATTGTCAAACTTAGCCTTGACAGGAGGAGGAAATGGTGATACCAAAGCAATTACAATGATATAAACAAATTCAACAAGTTATTTTGCCATAAAATACAGTCTCTTTGTGGTGGGGTTAGAAAAGGCATATGCGGTGTTGCCTCCTGTATCAACCAGATGCCACGGTATTAAATGGCACTTAACACTTAAAACATCAGCTGTTTTTCCCTAATATTTTAAGATGGAGCTTTCATGTCCCTGGGGCAGGCAGGCGTATGGTTACAGCCCCAGGATTTCCACGGGAGCTGGCTGGGATCAGAGCTGAGGTGCCTCCTGGTTGGCACAGCGGCTGTCAGTCTGTCTGCCCCGGAGCAGTCGTGGTGTGGAGGCTTCTGGGTTTGTTGTTCAGCTAACACCAGATTCTTGGTGTGGTGAACCAGATCACGGGATGGATCTGACCTAAAAACGAGTATATGGTTACTGCAATGCTGACAGGAGCTGTTTTGACTCATGGAGTTACACCCTTTCTCTCCAAAAAGACTTGAATGTGCAAAATCTGTTAGCCTGAAGCAAAGAAACTGCCAGAGTCTTGCCTGGAAATGGGTGCTTGCCATGTGTGAGCTCTGTCAAGGCAGGGAGGAAAACCACTGCAAGCTGCCTCTTTTCTCCTCCCACTGTCCCTAACCTGTTTACCTTCTGCAGTGCTTCATATTTTCCATGGTCTTGCCTACAAGACCAGTGATTTTGTTAAATTAATCTTGTTAAGATTGAGTCCGAATCATTTGGTGTTACTGAGCTGTGGCAACAGCTGGGTGGATTAATCAGAAACTGTTGTTACTTGTAGAGAGACAAGTATGTATCGTGATAATTTGGGTTTTCCTTTTTTCAGTGGGGTTGAGCAATGGAATTATACCTATTTTCAGACCTTGAGAAAGAAATTAAGTCCTTGGCATGATTATGAATGGAACCTGCTTTATCAGGAACGAATAAGTGGCTTGCTGAGAGCTGTCTTCCAAGTTCATCATGTTTAAAGGAGGAATGCACACCAGCTGCAGAGAAGCAATTTGTGGCTTGATTTGTCATAGTATTTCTTAACTTTCTGCTAATTTGGGGAGCATGGTGAGTTGCAGCAAGCTGTGCTCCCTGCTGAGGAAGATTCCAGACCCTTTTTGGGGATGAATGAAGGGGGATGACTTTTTATACTAAGCTACAGCGGTGAAATCTCTGGTGAGGCCCAGCACAGGCAGCAAGAGCTTCTCACCTGAAGTCCTGCCTGGGAACCAACCTCTGCCTCACGTCTGATTGCTGGGTGTGCCTCCTCTGAAGGATCTGGGAAAAAAAGAAAGGCTAATTTGGAGTTCAGGAGCAGCATTCTCATACCCTTTCCTTTTTCTACCTGCTGGTCTAGTATTTCCATAATTGTGTGTATAATGGCAATCTTTTAATTTCATTCATAAAGTGGTTACTGCTTAATGAACTTCATGTTAATGAGCTCTGTAACATTTAAAATAGCTGCATAACTTGAAAAAAAGAAAAAAAGCCATCAGCAACGAAGGGACGGATTTCCACTCCCCGAGCTTAATCCTGTGTTATAACATAATTGTGGAGAGTTTGCCTGGCTGGGAACAGCTGCACAGCGTGGGCTCTCGTTTCTGCAGAGCTCCTTGTCCCTGAGCTGGGGTAATAAATGATTTACTGGGGAGGCTGGGACCTGTGGGCACTTAACCCATTCATTTCCTGAGGGACCAGCCTGAAAGGTCACTTTGTAAAGGCAGTGGAAAGGAACAGTTTTAAGTGTCTGCAAAATGTGGGTTTTGCATATGAGTGTGCTGCAGGAAGGCTCAGGTGCAGAAGGTGGGGTAATGGAACTGGGTACAAACTGTGCTTACTTGGATTTTCATTATTTGATGCTTTAATTTATTTAAAATGGGGCTTGAATGAGTGTTCTACATTTTCTGGGCTAGGGATGTAATATTTTCTGTCGCTTGGGGTTTTACTTCCTGTGGGATATTCCCAGTGCAATACAGTGCCTTGGAAGCAGAGCTCTCATTTTCCTTGCAGGGAATGCCACACCAAGTGACTCCATCATTGCAGTTGCTGAGTGAATGATGAGCATTTTTTGAACCTCAGAAAGGATGTTTCAGCAAAATGAGCATGTTCTCTCATTACCTAAAGTGTATTATTTAGAGAAGAACATTTTCCCATGGTTTTGTGAGTTGAAAGAAGAGGAGCAATTATGAAGAAATAATTTGTAATTCTGCAGTGTCAGATGTGGTCGTGCTGTGCCACAGGGAGTGAAGTTAGCACAGGTACTCCTGTAGGAAACCTGAAGTTTCTGATGAAATTTTCTTCTTCTGGAGTAAAGTGTTAGCCAGGCTTTTCCTGAGTAAGTCTGTGGTGCCTGGGGCCACAGTGGCAGCATTTTCAAAATGGAGCCTAAAGGGAAAAGTGAGTCTGATGTATTCTTCAGAGGAGAAAAGCACATTAAAATGTTGGGCACTGAAACTTCTTAGACCAAAATGCAAGCAGAAACATGTCTTGCATCTTGGTCTTGATGCCATTTATTCCCGACTCGACCTGTGGCTAGAACTCTCTTCTTTGGAGAGTTAAGGTTGGTGCATGCCTTTATTAAAATATGCACTGGGTAACTACCTGGTTTTTAAATGCTAGGAAATATTTAATATTTGTCAGCTTTAAAGTGTGTGGTGTTTTGGGCTGGATCATGGGTTGTTTTCTACTGCAAGCCTGTGTTTTTGGGAATGCAGTACAAGTGCTGTGGTTTGGGAGCACAGAAAGAAGCAGGGCCTTGCTGCTCAGCCCTAGGGCTTGGGGATGTTTCTTTTACTGAAACCATCATTGCTCAGCATAGTTCCTAAAACAGCACAGCCTGGAGAATCAGAGAATAGTGAAGTGGAGAAGGTTTTAGGACGTGTGCTGTAGTAAGAAGTGTAGGAATCAATAGTTAGAGGCTTTGCTCACTCCCACTGCACATGTAAGGCTGTAGGCATCTCCTTTCTGCTGACAGCGCTCCACTGTGTTTATCCTTGTATGCACTGGGGTGAAATACTCCCCAAAGCCTGTTCTTGCCCCCCTCCATTCTTCACCTTGTCCCATATAGTGCATCTCTGGTTTCAAAGATAACCATGCAGTAACTTGCATGATGCTTCAGCTGCTCACTTTGATACCTGGGGATTTTCATGAAGTTCCTGGTTAAACCCCAAAGTCAAAAATCACCCCTGCAAACATGAGCTGGTTCTCATTGAGAGCTTCCCCACAGTTTACAGCTAAAACATGTATTCAAACAAGAGAATGTATAGGAAGGTATAAACTGGATTTTGCTCATTTGAGGAGGCAGCTAGAATGTCTGCTAAGGATTTCTGGAAGTTAATGTTTGAGCCTGAGATAAAAGTCTCATGCAAACGTGAAACAGCTGCCCCCAGAACCTGTTGGAGGACTTAATTTGAGTATAAACGCATGTGTGCTCTTGCGTACATGCTGCTCTTTAATTCAAGTCAACTGTTAGGTCTTAACTTTATTAGGATGTAGCTACTTGAACTGAAGATGTGGTCTGTGATTTTTATTTTATTATAGAAGCATGATGCCTCCTTTTGAAACGTTGTTTGGGTTTTACAAATCGGTATCTTAAGTACTGTTTGCCTTTAGTAATATATTAGAGGAAAAAATTTACAAGTGAGGGCAGGGTTATATCGGATTACAAGTGAATTGCTTGACAGTATGTGTGTACTGTAAAATGGGGAATTAATCAGCCTGTGTTGATGATCCATGGACATTTACAAAAGGCTGGTCTTTCTGTAGCACAAATAGATTCCGGAAACAGGAAAGAGGCTTATGACAAGAGGATGAGATCAGTTTGTATAATTAGAGCTGGCTTATAATCCTTTTTTACTCTCTGTTTTTCCAACTTTTACAGTATCTTTCTTTATTTGAAATTGGGCATATGAACTGTAAAGAGACAGCTGCTGTGATTTGAGTTTTGTAGGTTTGTTTTTTGTACCTACTAATAGGTGAAGGGATGGAGCAGGGAAATACATTTGAGAGGGATCTCTGCCTTCCCCTACATGGGGAAAGCACTGCTTTTATTAACTCAACATTGCTTTGTGTCTTCCCAGGTTTTGGGCAGGAATTAAGTAATCCAGGTGATTATCTTTTTGACAATTATGAGATTGAAATGGTCCAAAAGAAGAAACTTCATGTTGAGACTAAGGGTGTTTGGCTCTGGAGTAAGACTGGGCTGGCAAAGCTGAATTAGGGACTTGCTATAGTATGGATAAAGGTTTAAGCTTATTTTTTATGTGTGTTTTATGCTTTCCTGTATCTTAGCTTTGTGTTACACTTCATTATTTTGGGAAGGGTAATGGGAAAGGTTTGGCTGAGGCAGGTGGTGGGTGCAGCCCCTGGGCAGCCAAGCTCCCAGCCCAGGAACAGTGTGGTGCCAGTTCCTGCTGCCAGGAAGCTGAGCCACATTAAGCAAAGCAAGTTAATCTATATCCAGGGCATTTTATTAAATCATCAGTCAATTAAATTGGTGACGCTCTGTTAGCTTGTGTTGCAGTGAGGCTCCAGCCCCTCTGCAAGTGGCTCAGCTCTGCAACTCCCGCAATGCTGCTTGATGGGCTCTTGTACAAGCATGCCACACTGTAAAGGAAAAATCCAACAGATTTTAGGCAGATTTTGCACTTAAATATGGTCTTTAAATTACTTTTTTTTTTTCTGGAGGGAGAAGATTGTTGTGAAGTTCTTTTCGTGAAAGGAATCTGTGTGTGTCTGGTTTTCCTGCGGGTGGGTTGCTGGGTTACCTCTGTGCTGTTGGAGGAGAGTGATGGTAGATGCAGAACAACACAAAACATCTCTAAACCTCCTTTTCATCCCTCCCTTGTACCTAAGAAACCCCTGTTTTGTCTGTAATTGAATGGCAGCATATG